TGCAGTAGAATCCATGCGTTCGCTCGATCGCGATGTGCCACCCAGGCGGCTTGACTTCGTGGTTGTCGTCGCGATCGTAGAGCTGTCGACGGTCCTTGTGGTTATAGGGAAGGTCTCGAAGGTTGCCTCGTAGTCCTATCTTGGCCGGTGACAAGTCGGAGTTCTCGGCGTACCACACGAAGTCCTCGTTGGCCCCGGTTGCGCACTGGTAGCAACACCTGTAGTGGATGTTGCGCCAGTCGTCCTGGCCGTCGGGGTTAACCGAGAGGAGATAGTAAGGCGGAAACAGCAGACCACAAAAGGTGCAATCGATGGATCCATCGTGGAGCTTGTCGTTGGCCGGAGTGCTGAAGTACTTGAGGTACATCTCGACTCGGTCGACATCGCGTTTGTGGTGATCTTCGATCGATGTCCCATCGCGACCAATGAGCTCGATGGGCATGCCGTTCTCGTCGACCTCCTCGCCGGTAAGTTGTCGGCGCCAAATCGCCGCCAGCTCGGAGTCTGTCGAGTTCGGGAACTGCTTTCGTAGTGATGACATCGCGAGCTGTTCGGAGGCTCGTCTGAAAGCGATGACCTCCAAGGCTCCCTGGGTGTGATGGTCATCGTAGAGCCTTCGTTGTAATTTCAGTGCTCGGCCCTCGTCGGTGTCCGGGTGGACTCCCTCGAGGTATCGAGCGGCCGGCAAAACTGCTCCGGAGCTGCTGCCGGGCATTTGGGAAAACTGCTCGATGGGATCGAGCTGAGTCGCCGATGTCTCGGGGAACTGTTCAATCGGATCCGACTCAATCGGGGACTGGCGAGAGTGTGCCATCACTTCGGGTGGATCGGGAGGTTCGGGTAACACGAGTCGAGCTTGAGAGGTCGAAGTCTACGGAAGCCAAGCAATCTCCAAGGAGAGAGCAGGCCCCACTACAACTAGTAGAGCCTGATGCAACCGAGTAACATGTCCTACAGGCAAGCACATTTGGTCTTGTCGTCGTATGTAACGAGTCATTCGGGGGGTTGAGACCTACGGGTCAGGTGGACGCATCGCCGAGGCGGAAGTCCCCTTCTACCGAAACGGTCACTGACCCGGAAACACCCGTACATCGCCGAGGCGGAAACGGGGCGACCGTGAGACCTAAAGGTCGGGTAGGCCTCGTGTAAAGGCTCACGCATTCTCGCGGAATCGCAGGATGAAAGCCGGCGGCTCCGCGGCGATCATCGATCGCATTCGCTCGTGTTGGGCGAAGGCACTTCGCATCGCCGGTGAGAGCATATTCGAAGTGCAGGAAAGGATCGCCGAGGCCTGCTCCCGAAAGAAGGTCTGCATGGGCTCGAAGTATGGCATCTGCGCCGCGAAGGTGTTGAGATTCCTCGCCGTGTGGCACCAAATTCGGAGTCGGTTCATCCGATCTTCCACCGAAGTATGGTTCAGGTCGGAGAGAGAGGCGGTGATGCTGTGCCACACCATCGAGTAGATCAAGGTAGTCCGGGGTTCCACGAAGTTATTCGGGACACCCAGGAGCAACACCCGTTCCTGCAGTACGTCGTCTTGCGGGGTGTGGATCGGGAGGTCGATGTAAAGGCCGTATTGGGTGAGGTAGCTCCCGAAAGTAGGGCATCGGAGTACCTGTTCGATGTAGATGATGCCATCGTATGTGATCTCCCATGGAGTGTCGAAGGCGAAGGAGGAGTAGGGGTGATTGCCAGGTGGCAACATCGCGACATTGTGGCCACCCACCGGCGTCATCGCTTGCAAATTCGCCGACATCATCGGGAAGTTGTCGAAGTGGCGCAGTGTTTGAAAGCCAAACACTGGCTCGTGTGATGACGGTGCATTGGATCGGACATCGTCGATCGAAGTGCGCCCCTTCTCCACCACCTGCGAGTCGCGCCACTGCACTCGGAATCTCTCGAGGCATGACTGTCGTGGTGGTTGTGGCTGAACCGCGACCGGTACACTCGTGTAAGGATTCCCCAAGGAGGTCGTGATAGTCGAGGAAGAGGCCGCCCCCGACTCGTTGGTATCTGGCCGTAAGACTTGCCTCGGGTCATTTCGTGTCAAGTCCACAGCAGGGTGGACGGAGAATCTCGGAGGCACGACCTTTCCAAACCCCGCGGAGCTGTCGGCGTCGGGGTGTGGTCGTTTGGGCATGGCCTTGGTCTTAGTGCTCACGAGAGTCGTAGTAGCGGCAGCCCCAAAGGATGGGTTGATCCACTCGGATTCACTCGCGGAATTGGCCACCGGCCCAGAGCTCCTTGGGTTCATCGATGTCGCAGGGTTGGCTGTAGTAACCACGGTCGGAGGAGTCGGTGGTGGTGTCGCGGAATCATCGTCCTCGTGCCAAGGATCTGGCGACCTCGGCCTCGTCTGCGGTGTCGTGGTAGTCGGTGGGGCCGCCGGAGTCGTGGCTGGTGTCGAAGCGGCGATCTCATCCGGGATTTCGACGATCACCGGGGTCTTAGAGTCGAGCCATCTCTTCGCCGGTGACGGGGATCTCTTCGGGAATCTCGCCGGAGAAAGCGGTCGTTGTGATCCCCTGGCTGCTCCATCGCCGTGGCGGAAAGCAGTTCGGGGTTCACGGCCGAAGCTGGGTGCATCGGAGTCCGTATCCGTGCTGACCTGGAAGAAAGTTCTCCTTGGTGTCGGCGGAGTCGGCGTAGTCGAAGGTGCCGCCGATGGGAACGCTGCCGGAGGTGCTGTCGATGGGGCTGCTGTAGAAGGGGCTGACGAGGGAGCCGCTGAAGGAGGCCATCGGGGTCTCGAGGTCGGGAAAATCGCTCCCCGTGTCGGAGTGGGGTGTTGTCCCCAGGTCGCCGGAGGTCTCGATTCCTCGCGAACTCTACGGGGAGAGCGTCCTCGACGATGCAGGCCATCCGCGATTTCTTGTCGTAGTTGTTGGGCAACATCAGATTTATCCCACGATTCGTAGTCGTAGTACCGAAGGAAGTTTGTGCCAAAGTTGAACTTGCGCATCTCGGCAGAACGGAAAGTGGTCATCGAGTCCATGATCCACTCACGAGCCTGTGCTCGGTTGACCTGCTCGATGATTCCGTTCTTCGACGAGTAATGGTAAGGTGGTTCACCTCGACGATTCTGTCGCTGTACTAGGAAAGCCTGTCGCATAGCTTCGTCGAACGTGTGGCCATGTTGATTCCAGCACGTATTGTGGTACTCGCAGCATCCCTGGAACCATTTGTGGCATATGAGGTTGGGCACTACCCACTGTTTGTTGAGGAAATCGGGGTGAAGAAAACCACAATTGGCCATGTTACAGTTCTTCTTCTCGAGAAGGCGGGGACAAAGCTGTCGTCGTATCTCGGAGATGGGGACTTGGGCCGTGTCGCTGACTACTTCGGGGTACTCGTTAAGCATCGACTCTGGAACAGGGGCCGTCATCTTCACCAACGTGCCCTCGCAGAGAAAATCGAACCATGAGTCGGCTCGGGTACGTGCCATGGCTACGAATTGGCTAGTCCAAATCGATGGTAATCGAAGTAGTGGGCTTGAGATGCCCTTCGAAGTTCCGCTTTCGAGCTTTAGAGGCAGCGGGTTCGGGAGTATGTAATTCCATGCCGAAATCATCACGAAAAATGTCTGCCAAATGCTGATTATGCAGATCGGTCTCATGCACAAGAAGAGCAGCGTCGGTGTCAGCAGGTAGGGGTGCATGATCGGAGTCGGGGTGTAGGGAAGCCTCAACGATCTCGAACGGCACCGTCAGCGGCTCCGCGGACTCGTCGCGGTTGGTGATGTGCAGGTACAGAAATGCCTCGAGGTTGGGCGGTTTCAGCAAAGTCGCCGCAAGATTGACAATGTCGTTCGCCGTCTGACACTGGGCGATATGATCGAGTGCCTTTCGTATCTGTCGGGATTGTCGCTTGTTCCAAGCTCCCCACGTCACTTCCTCGGGTTTCTCGACTTGAAAATCTTCGAGAACTTGCTCGCGGCTGAATTCCTCGAGCGATTCCTTCAGACTGTCAACAACTGACAGAGAAGCCGTAGTGCTCGAGGTACTGGCCGCCAGCAGTGGTCGTAGTAGTGCTCGGGGTACTGGCCGCCCGGGCGGCTATGACCGAGGAGTGATCCGAGGGGACTGAAACAAAATTTCGCTCAAGCTGTAACAGCTTTCGCCAAAATGGCCACGGAGTATACAATCATTCGACATGAATCGGTGAGTCAATCCCCTGACCGATTCGGTGTTTAAGTGAGATATGAAGTTGTCACTTCGCACAAACAAGTGTGTGCTACACATACATGTGTATATATTAGGGCCATATAGGGACTACAATCGGGTGTGTTTAGGTTTAGGTTTGGGGTTTGCGGGTGTTTGGTGTTTTGGATTTTTTGGGGGGGTCGAAGGCTCATGGACTGGAGCTTTGTCTGGCATGGACAAACTCAGCCTGAAGCTTGAGCTTTGCTTGACGTTGAGGGTTCCGGTTTAAGTTTGGGCCTTGGGGCTTAGTATTTGGGTTGAGGTTTCTGGGCTTGAAGATGAACTCCCATGCAGAACGAAACGAGCTGACCACAACACCACCACTCTTTACAGCATCTATTGGCATCCTGGCTTGATTGTCACGTCCCCAACGGTCGCTTACACACACACACACAAGCCCTGAATCGTTCACACGAAATAGTGTGCGTAGTAACATACTCCACCATCTCAAAGGCTCTCCCCCATCAAGGCCAACTCAAACCTGTAGTTCAAGATCTTCAAGATGCCCAGAATCCAGTACTAGATAAACCAGTGAACCTGCTGCAAACAGAACAGGCCTGAAGTCTGCAAGCTGTCGTCAAAGGGGTATATGCCTGAACAGCCCAAACCCGAAACCGTGAACCCAAAAAAAACCGAAAACTAGTGGTGACCCTTGTAGTAACTAGTAGTACCCGGTACCTCCTGTAGTAACTCATAGTACCCCTTGTATCCTGAACCTTACAGAATATCCTACATGCCCCCTTATGCCTTGCCCCCTTAACTCTGCACTCTACACCGAAGCTCCCTGTCTTTTGGCACCTCGCTTAGCCAGTGCACGGAGGATCGCCAGCGCACCTAATGGCCCGTCCTCAGTACTATAGTAGATCTTGCGGTTTAGGGTTGGGGCTTTAGGGTGGCAGTAAGTCTGTGGTTTCGGGCACAATTGGGGTTCGGAAGGACTTAGAAGGATCCAGTTTAGGATTTACAGTGGTCAAGGGGTTTAGCATTTTAAGGTTTAAGGCTTAAGCGGCTCGGGTTCAGGTTTAGTGGTCTGGGACGGATTCCGGGGTTTAGGATGTGATGATGTACGGCCTTTTAGACTTCAGGACTCGGAGCTGACAGTGCAGGGGACCAGGTGAATTTCCAGAGTGCAAGCTGCAAGCCTTAGGAAAACTTGAGTTCAGGGGCTTATGGCAAGAGATCGCGAGCTCTGGGTGTGCGGGGCTTCTGTGCATGTAAGGAATCATGCCTACGCACAAGTGACCAGATTGGCTACGTCTCACAAACCTTTTGTATTCGTGCGTTGCATACGTGATTGAAAAAGACATAATAGGAAGAGAGATGTGCTGCAAAGTAGCTCACGCAGACTGCATTCTGCATGGTTTCCAGGTGCCGGGGCAAGGTGCATTGGGTTAGGCTTTGCATGGTGTTGTTGCTATGCACATGGGTTGAGGACAGAGGTACTGGCCATACTGTGGCTGCGCGCATATACCACAAACATGCTTCTTCATCAAGTCATCTGAAATAATTCAAAAGGCTTAGTGTCTGGGCTTACGTATTAGTTATCGGCGAGGCATTGAATTGTGCTTCTCTTTCGCATCCTGCAGCACACAGTTACAGCAAGTAGCTACCTGCCTTTGGTTACAAACATGTCGGATGTCTGTAGCACCTCCAGAGGGAAATGATGTAAATAGCATGCTGTCACCTATCATAGAGGTGGTGATGCTGGTGACAGCGGTGATTCTCGGATGGCGATGATGGTGATGTTCGGGTAGGTGAACATGGCGATGATGACGAAAGTGCTGACTGGATGCAACTGTCATACGCATCGGGGGAACTTACCAGAGGTGTTGTGTTTGGTGTGCTTCTCTGGTGCTCTCTGCTAGCAGATGCTACCAAACTTGCACACGAGCTATTGCTGTCAACCCTGCTGTTCCTACTGCAACTGGTACTACTATAGACCATCGTCGAGTTTGTGGCTTACTTCTGGCGGCAGCGCGACGATAAAACAAGGTAATGACGATTCTCCACCATCATCACAATCATGGCCATCCTCGCTGCTGTTGCTGCTGCAGATACTGCCGACAACGTTGTACTGAGGACTGACGGTAACGAGTATTGCTATTTACGCTAAAGATACAACTATCAGTAGTGCATGTTTCGACAACTCCGAAATCCATGACCACGACACCGCCATGCTGTTTTATACATACTAGATTTGTTACTTGTACAACTACTACCCTACTGCCACTTCTGCTGCTGCTGCTGCTGCAGCTCCTCCTCCTCCTCCTCCTCCTCCTCCTCCTACTACTACTACTACTACCACTACCACTACCACTACTACCACTACTACTACTACTACTACTACTACTACTACTACTACTACTACTACTACTACTACTACTACTACTACTACTACTACTACTACTACTACTACTACTACTAGGACTACTAGGACTACTAGGACTACTACTACTAGTATACTAGTACTACTAGTACTACTAGTACTACTAGTACTACTACTAGTACTACTAGTACTACTAGTACTACTAGTACTACTAGTACTACTAGTACTACTAGTACTACTAGTACTACTAGTACTACTACTAGCACTACTAGTACTACTAGTACTACTAGTACTACTAGTACTACTAGTACTACTAGCACTACTAGCACTACTAGTACTGCTACTGCTACTGCTACTGCTACTGCTACTGCTACTGCTACTGCTACTGCTACTGCTACTACTACTACTGCTACTACTACTACTACTACTACTACTACTACTATTCCTCCTGCTACTACTACTACTACTACTACTACTACCGACTACTGCTACTGCTACTGCTACTGCTACTGCTACTGCTACTGCTACTGCTACTGCTACTGCTACTGCTACTGCTACTGCTACCGCTACTGCTACTGCTACTACTACTAGTACTACTAGTAGTACTACTACTACTCCTACTACTACGACTACTACTGCTGCTAGTGCTACGACTACCACTACCACTTCGACTACGTCGACGACGACTCCTCCTACTCCTACTCCTGACTCCTACTCCTACTCCCTACTCCTACTCCTACTCCTACTCCTACTCTTACTACTCTTACTACTCCCACTACTCCTACTCCCACTCCTACTCCTACTACTCCTACTTTGTACCACTTCTTGGGGCTGACGGCTTTGAACCTGCTTGGGAGGCCTTCCAAGACAGGCTGCCGTTTCGCAGGAGCCGCGAGATCCGTTGGGAGCCTGCGCCGCAGGGAGCCAGATTATAGTATACTGTCGGTGTACTCTATATATATATATATATATATACATATAATATCAACATGTACAGTACATGACCACATAACATAATTTATGAATATTTCCGAAAGAGATAGAGAGTTTGTGGTTTAGGGCTTAGTTTGGTTAAAATCCCCGCTTTAACACAGCAAAGCAATAGAGCTTAAACATTTCTGCTCTTGCTTCCGAATCCAGGCATACCTAGCCTATGCAAGCCTGGAACCCACGAGCAGAAACCGTCCGGAGGGCAGTAAGCAGCTAGAAGCCAACCGCTCGGAATCTCTCGTCCGCAAACCCTAAACCCATAAGCCCGTTATAGACTTTATACAACGCATCTAGATCCCATGTAGGAACCTTAGAAAGATCCTTTTAAAGAAACTAGGTTTCTGAGTAACCCCTTTATAACAAGGCTGCCCTTTTTCCTACTATTCGGTTTTAATAAGGGGACCCTAAACTAAAAAGGGCAGAAGGGCACTACTCAGGAACCTAGGAAACGCTAAACTCCGAAACACCGACCAGGCTAAACCTCCGAGCATGTCTGGAGAAACATTGTCTGTATCAAGTGTAGGGTAGGTGCGGACTTGTGTGGTAAGTTCGCAGGAGACGATATTCGCAAAGAGCAAGAGCCGAAAAGGTACGGGGTGCAGATTTCAACGAAAACGGTTTCAGCTCTGCAGAACCAAAAATGCCTGAATCATGCGAGTGGTTGCGCCCAGGCGTGTGCCGTTTCTGTTTTGCTGTGCTTGACGCCTCAGCTTGTCTGCCATGATAGCACGAAAGGTCCAGAGCCATACAGGTTGAAGGTCTTGTAGAGCTTTCCGTTGCAAAGTGCTTAGATTTCCTAAGTGCTGCTGCAGTTACCTTAATAGTAGGCTACTAACCTCATATTATATACCCCAGTAGCCTACTATTTAGGTAACTGGAGCCCGAGAGTTTCTTAAGCATATGTAAAACAGAAAGAATGTCGCCTGCCCACCCCTGTCATGGAGGACGAAGAAGCCGCTGACGATCAGAACATGCTTCACCTTCGGTCAAGGTTCTGCCTAGAGTAACCAAGGTACCTGAAAGAAGCAAATGAACCTGTGTTCTGGTCATACTGTATCCCGTTTCTTAAGGTACATTGGTTGCTCCGGGTACGTACCAACCTGCAAACCCTCAAAGCAAGTGTAACAACGATGCGATGAGTCCTGTTGCGCCACTGCGCAGATCCAGATGGTAAGGGGAGCTTAACTTGACGCAACAAGCCTAAACCCGCAACAAACTTGTGAGCCTAGTCTGCAAGGAATTGAGGAAGAACACTTGCTTCCTGAATTACCTGACCCAGAAAGATTAGCAGTTTCGCGATGAGGGTTGGTAGGACGATATGGACCCAAACAGCTTCAAGTTCGACATGAGCTAAGCTGCATCGCCAGCGAAAGGCGCGAGACGAGCTTCGCGAAGTTTCGGTTTAGGCTCAGAAGTTGGTGAGAAGCAAAAGGCAATTGACCACCTGTGATTCGCGGGATGCGATACGAATGTTTCACGACCTTGACACCTGGAAGTATAAAGGATTATTTTTAGGTGTGGAACGTGGGACCCCAGAGGAAGTTGGGTCGGGGTTTAAACTCAGGAACCACATTCCTACAACCATAGGGGTGGTTGTCAAAATTATGGTCCCTTTTGGGGTACCCTACGTAAATACAAAGTGCCGTATCATAATAGGGACCCAAAAAGGGACCCTAATTTTGACAACCACCCCTATGACAATGATCACGAAAGTATCTGCAGTTTGCGCTAAGGGGCAGTGGGGCGGCTCCGGAGAGCGCTGGGATTTATGATTCACCTTGGGTGCGTCACGGAATCAAAATAGCCCCAATGCCTCAGGGATGTTAAGGTGAATAGCTGACAATAGGGACCCAGAAAAGGACATAAACAAAAAGCATATGGTTGGGATATCCCAGAATCCCCTCTTTGATAAAGCCAACAAGATAGGGATATCCCACCCGAAAGTTTATGTTTGGGTGCTTCTTTGGATCCTGAGGTGACAAGCCCCAATGTGAGGTACAACGACTATTCTGCTCTGGTGCGAGCTTCGGGAGTGCCCGTTAGGGTTTCGGATTAAGGGGTCTAAGGGAGACATGGGTGGCTGTGAAAATTATGGCTCTTTGTGGGTAGCCTGAATAATAATTCGGTACCGCAGTATACTAAGAACCCAAAAGTTTTAGTACTCAGCTACAATCGTCCCCTGAACTCCCACTCTGAGGTGTCCGAGCACTGCTGATCATCTTCGGATGAATAATGCTAAACCCCTCAGCCTCATACCCATGACGCGGGGTTTTCCAGCGGCAGGGCCTCAGTGTGGTGGCCCAGAATCAACGCGTGACTTTTTCGCTTAAACCGGGACTCTCGAGCGTAATCCTGCGAGTTGATAAGACTCGGCCAAAATCCCCAAATTCGGTGAAGAAAGTTTTGAGACCCTAAACCCCATAAACCCCAAACCCTAAACCCCTAATTAAAACCCTAAACCCCTTAAAGTACCCTTATAGATGCCTTACAGTAGTCCTTAAAGGCATAGTACCCGAAGCTCAACCCCCAAACCCCCCGCTCCCATCAGCCCTCGCCTTGTCGCCCAAGAGTGCGTCTACTGCTTTGCGCAGGCAGAGGCGGCCCGAAGAGAAGGCCTGGGGGTGGAAGTTCAACGGATTGGGAGCTTAAGAGACATCGGGGGTGGTGATGGTGGTGGTGGTGGTAGTAGTAGTAGTAGCAGCAGTAGTAGTAGTAGCAGCAGTAGTAGTAGTAGTAGTAGTCGTAGTAGTAGTAGTAGTAGTAGTAGTAGTAGTAGTAGTAGTAGTAGTAGTAGTAGTAGTATCAGCAGCAGCAGCAGCAGCAGTAGCAGCAGTACTTGTGGCAGCAGCCTTTGTTGCACAAGTTGTCGAAAGCGTCGGAGCCGTGACTGCAGTCGTGGCCGTATAGGAGTGTAGAGGCAGCAGCAGCAGCAGCAGCAGCAGCAGCAGCAGCAGCAGCAGCAGCAGTCAGCAGCAGCAGCAGCAGCAGTCAGCAGCAGTCAGCAGCAGTCAGCAGCAGTCAGCAGCAGTCAGCAGCAGTCAGCAGCAGTCAGCAGCAGTCAGCAGCAGTCAGCAGCAGTCAGCAGCAGTCAGCAGCAGTCAGCAGCAGTCAGCAGCAGTCAGCAGCAGTCAGCAGCAGTCAGCAGCAGTCAGCAGCAGTCAGCAGCAGTCAGCAGCAGTCAGCAGCAGTCAGCAGCAGTCAGCAGTAGCAGCAGCCGCAGTATGGGAGTTTCCGAAAATAGGGGACCCTCATATAGTACCCCACATAGATCCTTATTACATGGACCCCAAGATAAGGTACCCCCTAAGACTACGAAAGCGAACATGCTAAGCCCTCCTTGGCTTCGAGTATCTTTATGTGCTCGCAGCAATTCGGGCTGAAGGGTTTAGGGTTTAGGGTGGTTTAGGACTTCTTGGCAAAAACCTCAGAACTAGCCGGCATGGCCTTGTGGTAGATCTTCTCGATGTTGCGGCCTGGGGACTAGCTACTACTTCCTGTGCTTCCCATGACTTTTGCAAAGTAGGATTTCGGGTCTGTATCACAAAGATGATGGGAGGCCAAAAGGGGGTTTAAGATTCTTGGGGTAGGGATCCCTTAATATGACCCCTATTATGGGAACCCTAATCCCTACTAAACTCCCATAGGCTAAAACCCCTTTGGGCCTCCTATCAAAAAGAGCCATCACGGAACAAGCGAGAGCCTGGGAAGTCCAAAATCCCTGCGTTGCACTCCGCAACCTCAGACTGAACATTTCCCCCCCTACCTAAACCCCCCAAGAGTGGGTAGAATCATGGCCCAGTACCTTTAAAAGGCTATTATTTCTACGTACTTTTGGGGTCCAGGTAGACCATCCTAAACCCTAAATCCCACCCCCTTAAAACGACCCATCCCGCAACCCAACGACTGCAGACCACGGGTTTAGCGTAGAGTCTCTGCCGTGTGGGGGGTCCAGGATTTCGTTTGTGTTTCTGGTTTGTTGTCCAATCTGAACCGCAACAAATGTGAGGCATTTATAATAAAAAAAAAGTTGGGTTTGAAGTTGAGGGCATAAGATTGTATGAGCTTCGAGCATTTGCGATATAGGAGATACGCAGATCGTGGCTTGTAGCAAGTCTTAGCACACGGCTAAAATGTTAAAGTGTCTTCTGGGTTGTTACAGACAGACAGACAGACAGACAGACAGACATGCTGCATGCTTAAAAAGGGCACCTCAGCGCTACAAGATGGGAAAAAATGCCGAATCCCAAGTTCCCTGAGCCGCAGCATCAAGGGCAAAGTCGCCTGACTTGAGGGGTTTGGCATTTACAAGGGATGGACTCTTCTTCTTCAAAGGGTTAGGGTTTGGGGTTTTAGGGTTTAGGGGTAGGTGGCACAAAAGTAGAACACAGTGAGACAGGGAGCACAAGGTATCGATTTCCATGAACCGGGCGTCTGCTGTCAAATTTTTAGGCAGCAAGCTCTTTCAGGCTCTTAGCTAGGTTTAAGGTATAGTGAAAGCATGGGGTTGAGGGAAGTTAGCAAGCCGGTTATAAATGTGGTAGCCGGTGCACTGTCTGAATTAGCCTTTCGGGGTCCTTGTTGTTTTTGGGGGGGTGCCGTGCTGTTTTCAGGGCCTCAAAAGGGACTCTAATTCTCTAATTTCAAGCACTATCCTATTGGGATCACCCCGCCGACCTTCATCCCACTCTTGGAGCCCGTTGAAAAGGCCCTGGCCACAGTAGCTGCCGCTGTACTGGAAGCCTTTGCAAAGCTCCCCATGCTCCACGGGCCCACCTCCACAGCCGTGCCAGGGGCTTCATATTAGATTATACTGTAGGATATTCTATTCTACTGTATTGTTATATATATATATATAACATATTTATGAATATATGAAGTTAGACTGGGATATTATACATTACTGTTTTGTAAGTATATTATGCTTAAACAATTGCTGGCCTTTGTAGGCTTCAAGACCTCACGACTCGGCACTGTTTGAAGGTTCCCCTACAAAAATCTTCAACCCTCGACCTTGAACTGTTGTCAGTGATCTCTCAGGTACTGCCCCCATACAGTAAGAGTCTATAGTAGGGCTACTATTCAGGTCCTAATAAATCTATATTATGAATGTTATTCAACTATTACTGGGTGGGAGCCGTACCCAAGTGATCTCTGCTCTTTTCAAGTTCCCCTACATAAACCTTCAACCCTCAACCTCGAGCTGCGGTCAGTGATCCCTAAACCCTAAAACCCTATAAACCCTACACCCTAAACCCTGTAAACCCTAAACCCTCTAAACCCTAAACCCTAAACCCTGCAAACCCTATAAACCCTAAACTCTAAACCCGGATCCGTGAACCCAAAAACCCAATCCCTTCGTCTCTAAACAGCAGCCTCTTGTCTCGGACGGTTTAGGGTTTAGGGTAAAAGCCGACAAGCGAATGCTTCACCCCGAGCCCCAAGCCCTTAAGCCCTCACCCCAACAAATCAGCCCACCATGACAGGACATACTTGAAACAGTAGTGAGAATGGGAATAGTTCATAGCAATCATAGCACTATAATACGATTGTCTGAGCAAAAATGATAACAATAATAACAAGAAGAATGCTGATAATAACCTTAATGATGATAACCTTAATGATAATAGAACTTCAATAACAACATATCATGATAAACTAAAAGCAATTGCAATAATAAAATAACAAGCAATGATGATAAGAAACATAAGAAGAACCATAACGACTATGATTAGAACGGACGATAAAGAAAACATATCGGTTGACTGGATTAGGGGTTTGCCTAGAACACATAATATGGGGGCCCTAATTATTAGAATAGGGTTTGGGAAGCTATTCAGGCCCCTAGAGTAAGCTGCATGGCAGTTCGCATGCACGGCAAGCCGTGGAGGACTTAATCAAAGCTCAGTACCGCCTAGCAAGGCGTGGCGAGCACGCTAAGGCAAAAACTACCAGCACCAGGACGCCAAAAACGCCCTAAACCCTAAACCCCTAAACCCCAAAGCCTAAACCTTAAACCCCAAACCCCAAACCCTAAACCCCAAACCCCAAACCCTAAACCACAAACCCTAAATCCTAAACCCCAAACCCTAAACCCCAAACCCCAAACCCTGAACCCCAAACCCCAAACCCTAAACCCCAAACCCTAAACCCTAAACCCCAAACCCTAAACCCCAAACCCCAAACCCTAAACCCCAAACCCTGAACCCCAAACCCTAAACCCCAAACCCCAAACCTCAAAATCCATGCCGTCCTTCGCGAAGGTACTCTTGGAAGTCGGATGGACCTGGTGTAGGAGATCATATCGGAATTTCCGATCGGGAGTACCTCAGGGTTCCTTTAAAGGGTTACTATAAGCGTACCATTTAGGGTTTAGGGGTTTATATGCGGGTTTCCGGAAATTAGGGGGGGGGGGGGTACCTTTTTTAAGGGATCCTTCAAGAGGTCCTTAAAGGGATCTATCAGGGTTCCACAAAGGGTTTAGGGTTTCTAAGGTGTGGGGCTTTCCGAACATAGGGGGATCCTGATACACTGCCCTCCATAGTAGGATCCTTATTGCAAGGGCCCCAAGTATAAGGTACTCCGAATTTTCGGAAACTCCCAGAAAGAGGGTGTTGATGGGATGATGTTGTTGCTACCTCTTTAAATTCCGTCCGCTACAGCCTCAAAGCCTAACCCCTGCAATCCCAAACCCTATTTTTCCTGCAGGTAATGACTACTCAACCCGAAACCTCAGACCAAACCTCAAACCCCAGATTGCTAAACCCCTACAACCTGAACCCTTTATCCTAAACTCAAAGCCCTAAACCCCTAAATTATTTTGAACCCACAACCTAAACCCTGGACCAAGGAATGCTAAACCCCACTCGGAACCCTTGGCTGGGTAGCGCGCTGAAGGCGCAAGCGATCTCCATGGCCTTCACGCGAGCCAACGCGTCATCGCTGTGCGCCATGGCTGAAGGACGCTGCGAGAGATCGAGCAGCAAAAGTAATACAGGGGCTTGGGGGCGCAGTATACCAATAATCATAAAGAGGAACCCCCAAAATAGTATTTGTAATTATTTCGGCCCCTATATTATCACGTTCTAACCCCATATAGGTGAATCTGCTTAGGGCTTAGCCTTTTGGGCTTGCGGGTTGGGGCTTAGAGTCCTTACTCGGGGTCTAAGTCAAGCTTTACAAGGCTTTATGGCTGAGGGTTTAGGAGTCCTCATTACGGGTTAAGGCTAAGTAGTTGCATAAAGGTTTCACATTGATCTTATAAGGCTTTAAAATCATGATGGTGGGCTTAGACCCTTAGAAGGAGCCTCTATAGACCCTTAAAAGGAGCCCCTCTAGACCCTGAAAAGGAATCCCTATACTTGCAGAGTCATGGGTAGTTATAAGTGGAATTATTAGTCCCCTAATATGGGCTACAATTTTACATACCCTACTTATAACCCCACTTACAACTACCCATGAACCTCCAAGTAGATACTGAAGGAGCCTGTGAGGCTGTAAGGGGTTCGGGGCATCTCGGCCCTTAAGGACGACTTCGAGTTTTCGGAACTATGCGAAAGGCGGCGGAGATCAGGTGTTGAGGATTTAAAGCTCGGGATCTTGGGTTTAGGGCTTCAAGTATAATGTAGGGTTTAGGGGATCGAAGGTCTAGGGTTTAGTTCTTGAAAAGTTATTGCGTGCGTTGGAGACTTAAAGCTCGGGATCTCGGGTTTAGGGCTGACCTTCACCCCGAAGGACCTACCTTTTTATGGACTTGTATAAGGAAATTAGAAGAAGGAACCCTGAAAAGGCAGGTTATTCAGGGTGATTAGGTTAAAAGGCTAAGGGGATTCAGGGTCCGAGGTTTAAGGCGGTTGACGTGCGGCGTTTTTGGATTTTGGAATTCGGACCTGCCTGCGTGGCTAAAGGGTCTCTGGGTCAGGGCCGAACCCAGCTGAACGCTATCCGGAAGACACAAACCTTTGGTACTGCCTCATCAAAGAGATTCGTCCACAAGGATTTGGGGAGTTTCTCTCGGAGGCTCAGCAGACGCAGTAAGTAGGCCTATGACAACTTAAGGCGTTGATGGTTGCAAGACAGATAGCCCCCAATTAAACTAGTTCAAGACGCAGGAGTAACCTGCCTGAGACCTATCAAATCAGCGATGCCTGAATTAAATCCTACTTAAACCCTACAGTAAGCCCTCGACGCCACAGTAGTAAAAGGCTAGTGAGTTCACCAGGCAAAGGCCATCGGCCTACCAACCACCTGCCAGTCTGCCAGTATCCTACTTCACACGGTGTAGACACCTGACTCATGAGCACCTTCATCCCGAGAAACTCTGATCGCGTGATAGTAAAGTATAGTTGAATGATTAAAAACAAAAGACACTCGTATATGCATACATACACATTTCGTACATTACACATTGTTGATGATTCGGCTTCTGGTCCCTGCTAAACATACCCAGATGATGCCAACGATGCCCTGCACCACGTGCAGTGCTTAGCATCGCAGCTTGTGACTACCAGCGAAGCCCTGTTGTTTAGATCTTCAAATAGCTTAAAACCCCAAAACCCTAGACCCTAAGCCCCGAAAGACCCGACGCCCTGATCCCTTGAGCCCTGGACCCTGCAGCCGGAATCCTAAACCCTACAAGTAAGTCATTCAAAAAGCTCTTCCAGCTCATAGCTCTGGGCTTTCAGCTACTACAGGGGCATCAACGAGTATGTTTGTTTTGTTGGGGGAATATGATACTTTTTGCTTTAGGGTTTAGGGTTTGGGGGGATATTCTGCTTTGGGGTTTAGGATGGTTTAGGGTGTAGGGTTTAGGGATTGTTTTGGGGCCAATCATCATAGCAACCGACAGGCAACGAGCTTACAGATTTTTCCGACATGCAGATTAAACCCTTCGCCCTTGCTTCTCAAGGAGCTAGTCAACGTCCCCAACACCGGTACCCCCACCAAACACCAACCTCTAAACTCTCAAATCCTGAGAAAGAACCCTGCTGGGAGCGAAACGGGGGGTTTAAGATTCTCGAGGTAGGGATTCCTTAATATGAACCCTACTTGGAGGATCATGGGACTTAGTAAGTATGGTTATAAGTAGGGTTATAAGTAGTTATAAGTATAGCTACCCTAATTATAACCCTAGTTACTAAGTCCCATGATCCTTTAAGTATTATGGGAACCCTAATCTCTACTAAACCCCCATAGGCTAAAACCCCTTTTGGCCTCTTGTGAAACCCACACCCTGAGTCCCTGCAACTCATACCCTCCACCCCGAAATCCTAAAATCCCCTTTGTCCCAAAGCCCTGCGACCCAAAACCTAGACCTAAACCTCATTGGCCGAAATCCCTGAGACCCTAAACCCTAAACCCTAAACCGTGGGGGTGCCAGAGGCCAGCTAGGGTGTGAGAGTTGAGAGGTTTAGGGTTTTGGAAGCCCTCGAACGATCGAAGATTCCTGAAAACACTGAAGTCTAAGCCGGAACCCTGAAAGGAGTATTTCCTACAGGGTCGAAGAACTCGAAAAGCAGGGGCGGGTCAAGTATTCGAATGGTCCTTGACACCTAAACCACTCGATCTGGGCATTTGGACCCTTCGGGTATGTTCTTGCTGTTCCCTAAACCGCAGAACCCCAAAACCCGGCAACCCTACAGCTCTAACTCCGCCCCCAAACAGAACACAAACCGAGCCCTAACACTCTGACTCTCAACCCCCCACAATCCTGACCCCAAAACCTAAACCCTCAACCCTAAACCTTAAACCCTAAACCGCAAACCCTTCCCCCCAAACCCTAAACCCCAAACCCAAAACCCCAAATCCATTGTACTCTAATTATCTCTAATTATAACAAAGAAACCCAAAATAGTACTGGTAACTATTTACGCCCCTATATTTAAGCGCACTCCTCAACTAAACCTTAAACCCTGACACCGATTTTTGTCTCATTGCTTCGATGGTTTCTGGGCGACCATCCCTTCGGATGCGCCATATCGGCCTGGAATTCGGGAGCCCTTCTTTTAGGGTTTTAAAACATTTTGCAGATTTGGTTGAAGGGCTTTTATGGGTTTTAAAGCATTTTGAAGTATTTTTGAAGGCTTTCAAGGGTTTTGAAGCTTTTAAGGGCTTCTGGTGCCTTTTTTAATTTCTTAAAGGCGGTTGATAGCTTTAAGGGTTCGGGGCTTCTTGTTTCCAAATCAAATGGATGGGTTACCATCAGGGCTACTACAAGGCTTTGTAGTAGTTGTTTTCAAGGGTTTGAGGGCTGAAGGTTGGAGTTCCGGCGTGTGTAATCAGGGCTTGAGGTTTGATGGTTTGAGGCTCAAGGTGCGCATTGAAACTTCGGAGTTGTGGCTTTGGCACGGTCGAAGCAACTTGACAAGCGCAGCTAACAACGAGAGCACCGCTAAATGGATCATGGGTTTGGGATATTGAGGGGTGTTGTCTCAAATTTATCATACGGAACCCCACGGCCTCTGCTTCAATCCTCCATGAAGAGAGCAAAAGATGTGATGTGGGCACCATGGTTATTGCTTTGGATCTGGGGCTTGGGGCTTAGGGTTTCGCGTTTAGGTGTGGTTTGCGGGGTCGAAAGTGTCGTCAGATGGACTTGACTTCTAGGCCAACTATGCCCAAAGAGCAACCTGCACTGTTCCAAGATTTGAGAGTTTCCGCAAATTAGGGGTACCTTGTTGTGTGGGCCTTATAGTAAGAATCCTACTTTTTAGAATACCATATTAGGGCCCCCTATTTTCGGAAACTCCCATTTCGAGCTTGCGGTGATTCAACGCGTAAGATCTGCTCGATGTCTCGTGTGCACACAGCACGCCAGGTTGAATGGGCAAGCTCTAGGCGCCCAAAAACTGGAACCCACAGCCTGACTTCCAGCGGGGACAACAACGCCAAGTCGAAGGGAACCGAAAGTCCTAAATTCTGGCGGCGGATGTCTGGGCTCAGGGCCTGGAGCTTGAATATTTTGGTACGGAGCTTGGAAGTCTACTTGCTCGAATCGCCCTACAACCCCAAACCCCAATCAAAAGCTACAGCTACGAGTAGCGGCTTCAGGGTAATTTCTGTTGAAATTCTGCAGGCACCACGTAACCCTGAACCCAGAACCAACATCCCATACTCCGACATCCTACAAGGCTTGCCGAAGATTTCCACCATACACATTGCAAACGCAAAACCGAAACTCCGAACCCTCGTCCCACACCGTGAACACGGACCCGTAGACCCTGGAAGCCCCGAACCAGGACTCCCTCCCCAGCAGGCACAATCCATAACATGAAGCCGCCTCAGCCGATCTTCACGCAGCACTCTTCATCCGTGCTGCCCTGGTGCCTTCAGTACTGAAGAAATGGCTGTCTTCCGTGCGCCGAAGGCCATACTTAGGTAATGTAGGAACCTGATTAAGAAACCCTGGCCCTATAACCCGCAATATATTCGCGGTTATGATGATTCATATAATAACGAACCCAAATAAGGGCCCAAGGTTGCTTAAAGTCTTAACCAGGTTTCACATTGGGCTACCGTCTGAGGTTTGAAGGTCCAAAGTTTCCGAATGGGAGATGGATTGAAGTTTAAGACCTGCGGTCTCCAATTTGTCTTGCATTACAGGGGAGGCCAAAGATATTCCTCGTCTTCCATCGCGTCGAGGCGACGTTTCTTATCAGGTTCCAGAACACTTAAAATTCAAAAACCCTACAACAAGCCCTGAAGCCCTATAGAGGGTCAGCAAGCACGGCAGGGCGCAGAGCATGTAACTTCGGGCTTACGGATCGAGGGCGGGGGGATGGAAACTGACAGGGTCCAGCTGGGGCCCCAAAAATTACCTCTTACAGTAATACCGATTATAGTCTGCCCAAGTAGTTCCTTTTGGGGGTTCATACATAGAATATTATAAGGTAATCCCAACAAGGAACTACTTTGGGGCCTACGGGTAGCTGCACTAAGGAACACGACTTCCGACTCCTGTCTTGGATACAAAATTGTGGGGGTGCAGAGCTGGACTCCTAGGGGCGGTTGTTCGATCGTTTAGGGGTTATAGGGCTCAGTCCGTCTTTAGGGTTTCTGGCTGCTGGCTTTGGGGTTTTACAGTTTAAGGTTTTGGGGTCTTAGGTTTTGCCTCTGGTTGCTCGTTTCAAGACAGCTTGACAAGCTTAAAAGCACCGTGAATCCAAAAACCCCACCAGCAACCCCAGTCCCCCGAGACCTCGGTGAAAAACAAACCAGGCCAGAGTTTAGTTTCCGAATCCTCGGCCTAAAGCCATGAACCCAAAAACCTGTCCTCTAAACCCTGTAACCTCCAGCCTCCAGCCCCACCCGAAGGCTTCAAGTACTTTCCCTAACCTACGCTCAAGCACCTAATCAGTAGGTCCTCTGGACCGTTGAGGCTATGCTTTAAACCCTAAAGAGCTAGGCCCCTAAACCCCAAAAGCCCCTAAGCCCCCCAAACCCCTGAACCCTTTACAGATCCCTGATAGGAACCCTCTTGGACCCCTAACCCCCTGGCCCTATGCCCCTAAAACCCCCCAACCCGCCGGGGAAGTTCCGAACCGGATTTCGTCTGAGCCGCTGCTTCGCGTTGGGTCGGAGCTCCAGGCCTGCGCCGGCTTCGCTAGCATTTTTACGAATAACACTGACAGTAATCATAGTAATAATGAGAATGAATCATAAGAACAATACTAGTAAGACAAAAGATTAGTAGAGAATAGTACTGACCGCTATCATAATATTAATCATTGTAATCATGATAATAGTATGTAGTATAATATTGGTAATCATAGTAGTAATCATATTGATAACAGAATCAGAATAATACTAACCACACTAAGAAACAATGGTAATACTAGTCGAGTCACAACATCGTTGCTAACAACTGCAATAGCAACAGTAATACTAACAAGAGCAATATTCATAACAAGAAGACTGTCATACTTCATAGCAGCGAGAACAAGTTGACAAATATCAATGACTATTGAGACAAGACAACTAATAATCAGACGCTTTTCGGGTTTAGGGTTCAGGATTTTAAGGTGTAGAGTTGAAGGTTCACTCCTTACTTGGAGGTTTATGGGTAGTGATAAGTGAGGTTATAGGTAGTGTAACCATGCTCATCACCCATATTGGGGGACTTATAACCCTACTTATAAATACCCACGAACCTTCAAGTAGTGCTTCGAAGGTTTTCAGGTTTGGGGCTTTGTTTGAGCGTTTGAGGGCTTAGAGTTTCGAGGCCTAGAGCTTGGAAGAAGCGTGTATGCAGGGATTCGTAACGTAAGCGTATTTATACTGTATCTGGTGTCATAGGGGATTTTAGAAACTTAAGATGGGTTCGGAGACGGTATGTAAGCTGGAGGGTTTAGTGTTTTGGGGTTTGGGATATTTGGGGCGTAGCATGCTTCAGGTCCCGAATATGCAGTCTTTACTGCTTAAGGCTTCAGGCAGCACTCATGCATAGATGAAAATGTGTTGTTTCGTGCGCATTGCTGAATGAGGTCATCGTTGCTTGCCTGGAAGAGAACAACCAAACCGTCTTCATAAGACACGCATCGCATAACCTGTCTGTCGAGAAAGCCTAAAGTCCTAAACTCAACGTCCGACCCGGGCTCGTGAACAAAATACAAACTTTTAAGCTTGAGCCACTCAGAAAGCTCCCGCAAGCTTGCAACCTTAACACCCAGATCTTCTCGCTCTCCCTCTCTCTCTCGCTGTCTGTCTCTCTCTCGCTTGCTCTGTCTCCCATGCTTTCGAAACATGAAAACTCAGCTATCAAAATCTCTAAAACCCTTCTGCGAAACCCATGCTCCCAAACACTCGGCTCCTACACACTCAGGCCCGTGACCCCACACAGCAGTCAAACCACAGGCATAAAATGGTGGAACAGGAATTCCAGTAATCACGCCCTCAACTCCGAAGAGGCAATAAGGCAATATTGATACAGCAATAATACAAGGATGTGTAACATAATGTAGCAGGGTATTACTGAGGTTATGCTATATAACTTAAGATGGGAATAGTAACAATGGCAGAACCCCCAGGGACACCTGACTGCTTGTCGCAGCAGTATTCAGAGCACCAGAGCGGATCATAGCACTCCACGTCGGTGCTGCCATGCAAGCTCGCATCCTTCTTCCTTTCAGGATGAGGTCTCAGCTAATGTGGGGGCCTTAAGAATCGTAACAGGGTTTGGGCCCCGTTACAGTACAAGAAAAATCAGAAGGATTTTTTTGGCTCCTACCTTAGGTTTAGGGTTTAGGGTGTTGAACCCTCAGTGTACGAAAACTTTCGAGAGAGTATCCCTGTATAACTCCTGTAGTAATGTTGCTATGAGATCCCCAAAAAAAGCCCTAAGCCGCCCATAGATTATCCTCCCCCAAAACCCCAAAGACCCCCAGAATACCATATAATCCTGGTGCATGAAGCAGCCGTCCTCACCCAGCGAGTAGGATGGCTGGTGGTATACTGGCTGCAGTAGATGGGGAGGCAGCACTCCTCCAACGGTCTGACATACAGGTGAGGCCTCTAAGCTCTGATGTAGGGGCCTTCATAAATAGAACAGGGTTTTCGGGCGCATTGTACTATAATTGTAATAAGGAGCCCTGAAAATAGTATAGGTAACTATTGAGGCCTCTGTATTATAGGTGACGCCTCTAAACCCTGTGCACACTTTTGTAAGCCTGAAGCCCCGAAACTGCAATAGAAATCCTGCACAACTTCATGCGGGTGCCACATTGTGGTAGGAAATCCCACGCGCATGGGTCTCTCACGGTTCTTCCACTGTTCTCAGCCGTGTCCGTGCACCAGTTCATCCAAACATACGCATGTTGCACCGGCGCGAAATTCGCTTTCGACGGGATCTCCTGCGGCGCGTCCTCACCTCGAGAAGTCCCCTGCAGAATGCAAAACCGTCTAACAAGAAGATTGAAACAACACACCTTGTAAGTGAACCCACGCACTGCACGTCGAACCTCGAAGGCCAGACCCTGAACCCCTAAACCGTAATCCTAGACCCCAGAAATCCCTAACCCGGCACCTTGAAATGCGCAACCCTCACTCCCTGAGTACCGAACCCTGGCGCCTTAAATGCCCACCCTGTTGCGGTTGAGGGTTGAATCAAGCTGAGGGTTTTGAGTTCCGGGTCCAAGGGTTTAGGGTCTGGGGTTTCAAACGGCTGAGGGTTTAGGGCTCTCTCTGCGCAACGATGACACACCAGTGTAATTGAACCAACCAACCAACCAACCAAACCAAGCCAAACCAACCAAACCAACCAACCAACTTAAAGCATGCACTTCAGGCCGCATATTCTGACTTCCCTGGCACAACAAATTCAAAACGGTTGACATCTGTTTTTTGCTACGGTAAGGCTTAGGGTTTAGTAGGGCCACCTAAGCCCCAACAGCTTGACGGTTACCTACTCAGCTGCTACTAATACCTTGTGCTTAACGCCCTACGACGACCCATTCCTGAAGTGCACGACAGGTCCATGGGCAGCTATAAGTGGGGTTATAAGTAGGGTAACTACACTCAAAGCTCATATTCGGGGACTTACAACTCCACTTATATCTACCCATGAACCTCCAAACAAGCCCTAAACCCTATACCCTTACAGAATCCCTATAGATCCCTTGTAAAAGGAACCCTTAAAGGAACCCGTATAACTACCCATGAACCTCCAAGTAGGGGCTCTTAGGGATCTAAGCATTACCTTAAGGACCCTAAGCTATGGGAATTCTGGCATATTCCTTATTATGGGTAATGCAGGATTTATATCATCAACCGTATGTCAGGCTTTTCTTGGGTTGGCTGGGGGTTTGGGGGCTTCGGTCTTGTAGGGTTTGGGGTAGAGGGGTGTTGGGTTTCAGGCTTCAGGGGTGGGAGGTTCAGGGCTTTGGGCTTTTTTTGGGTCGGCAGGAAGTATTTTGTCGATTTCGGAGTCCCAGGGTCGCTCAGAAGATAAGAGTCTGAGTTTGGGAAACTCTAAACCCTAAACCCCTGAACCCCGAAGCCCCTAAGCCCCCAAACCCCTAAACTCCGAGACTCCCAGACCCCAGAAACCGCGGCTCCTCGTTGGTGCTTCCCTGCCATTTGTAAGTGTTCGTGTCCACGCGCTTGTACCTGGGATTGGGCGCCGGGGGCTCGACGGGTCTTGAGCGGGTTTTAGTAGGGCTTGGACAAGTGACAAGGGCCTTTACAGTGCTGTATACGGGTGTAGCAGGGCTTTAAGAAGCCCTTATGTAGGGTTTGACGGAGTGTTTTGAACCACAGATCAAGGCAAGACTCCTGAACTGGGATCTTAAACGCCCGTAACCCAAAGCCGAGAACCCTAAACCCTACCCTGGGACCACAAATCTGAAAATCTGATACAGGGGCCTAAATAATGACCAATACTATTTGGGGGGCTCCGTATTATAATTATAGTGTAACGGGCCCAAAACCCTATTCTAATTACTCAGGCCCCTATAGTACAGCTCTCGCGCCAAACACGTAAAGATTGTCTATGAGCCCAAAAGATCTTCAACATACTCCGGAAACTGCAGTCTAAGGCTTGACGTTAAGGCTGTTAAGGATGTCTGTTGGTTGGGGTCTGACTTTAGGGTTTCGGTCTGGGAGTTGATGTCAGAAATTCCAGGTTCCCTCAAACAAGACCCCTAACGATTTAGGCTTTGGGGTTCCTAGGGTTCGAGCACATTTACAGAATGCACAACCCTAACTAGAGAATAGATCCTCAACCGGCTGTGCCCGGTGTCCCTGCCACAATCGTGGGTTCGGGGAGAGGGTGTTCAAGGGCTGCATGAGGGCGTCTGTCCTAGCTGAACAAGGCTGTGGGGCTTCCGGCCAAAAGCTCAACCCTACTTAAACCCAAAAGCCTTGAGCCAGAAAATTGCCCGTGCTGCCAACATATCTAGAAACTGAACTGTTGCAGCGACGCTGTTCGGGGAAGAGGGGCGGCAGTGCGAAAGCCACCCCCGCTTTCGCTGGCTGGGCACACCACCAGGTCTACTATCACCTTTCACGTGCTGCAGCTGATCTTCAGTGGGAAGTGGTCGCTGCTTGAGGCTGAAGAAACTGCCTCTGTCCACCGAAGGGATGACAGTAATGTCGGAACCTGATTAAGAAACTCTGGCCCTACAGCCCCATTGAAAACATTAGGCTTCACATTTAAGACTCTGCCGCCACAGTGTACAACACCCAGAAGGCCCAGAAGCAAGTGGTAAGACCCACCAAGTGCGAACAACTGCACGAATGTACACAACTCGCACATTCCAACCCTAAAACTTGCAATGCACGGGATCTTCAGATCACGTACATACATAACACAAACCACTTCGACCATGTGCTGCTTGAGCAGCGACAAGCCCTGTACTACTTTGAGCTCAGAGCCAGGGGTGCTTAAGCCCGCAACCCAGAGACTCCAATATCCCTTAATTAAGGAATATACCCTAAATGATAATAGGATCCCTCATATGATTTAAGGTATATTCCTTATCTAAGGGATATTGGAGTCTCTGGCAACCCTGCCCGCATCTTTATCGTTCGCGGGATTAGGAGTTAGGGCTTGGGGCTACGTAAGGGGTTTAGAGGAAGGCTTCGTAAGCTGCTTGGATCTCAAACCCTGGTGTCGACTGTTCCTTGCTGACTGAGAGGCCACTGCGTGCCGACACCAGTGCCGTTGACATCAGTGTCACACACGAAGTCGTCGCCTCAATGGATGGGCTTCGGCTTTGAGCCCTTGAAATCCTTATTGCTAATGTCGAGACCTGCAGCATTAACATTTCTAGTCATCCGGGCTCCTTAGCATAGGAAACCCTGCTGGAATCTTTCAGGCTCCTAGATTGAAGCCTCAGTCCCTGAAGCCTTGAAGCCCGACTCTTACACTCCCGGAAAGTCTGAGATCCTACAGTAAAACCGAACTTGTCAAACTCTTCATAAGCTTTAAACTTGCACTCTGACGCTCTCGATCCCTGAAGCGCTGCAAACACTCCTGCAAAAGCCGGCGGCAAGAACAATGCTACAACTCGCACGTTCACACCTACGGCCTACGTGTTGCAGGATTGGAGGGTTCAGGTGCTCAGAGCGCTAATGTGGAGTGGAACGAAAGCGTGAAGATCGTTACTTGGAGGGTCATGGGTAGTTATAACTGGAGTAATAATCCCACTTGGAACTACACATGAACCCCCAAGTAGTGTCCCATCGTGCAAGAGGGTTTCGTAGCTTTCACAGGCCTCAGGATTGGAGATTCAAGCGTTCGCTCGATTGGAGCGCACGGGCCTTACTAATTGGAATAGAGTTCCCTTCAAAGGGATCGTTTAAAGGGTTCTTTAAGGGATCTATAATAAGGTTCTATAATATAGGTGCCTTAATCGTTAGAATACGTGCTTTTAAGTTTTTGGGGCCCTGAATCAGGAACCCCCATAATAGCATTGGTAATGATTAAGGCTCCTGTAGTACACGTTTGGGGTGTGGTGCAGAGCTGTTCCTGCACGGCACTTCTTGTCACCCTTCGAGTCGATCCCCAAAATACACCCCACTCTAACAGCCACACATCTGGGTGGTTGTCAAAACTAGGGTCCCTTCTTGGGTCCCTGTTGTAGTACGGCACCTACCCAAAAAGGGACTATAAGTTTGACAACCACAAGTCTGGGACACGAAAGCAGTAAACCCCATAACAGTGCGGAGAGTCCCTATACGTTACCCGGGCTTCCAACTTTTAAGCTTCTGCTACCGTAAACCTAAACCCTAAACCGAAACCCCTAAACCCCTAAACCCCTAAACCAAACAGTAAGGCCGTGGCAGAAGATCTTCTCACAGCACTGCTCGTGGGTGCTGCCCTGGATCTTGTCCAGTCCTGACAGCTACGTTCAGATTTGTGGCTTTCCCGGGCTCCCGAAACCTGCGAGTGTGTGTTATGTACACAAACATTTTCTTGTATTCTTACATATTTTACAAGGTGTTACATATGGCTGACTGAATTCTCTGTTCGTACATGGTATTGAATATTCTTATAGCATATGGTGTATGAATCCATGTTGTGTCGTTTTCTGTCGTTAACATAACGCTACTGTATCACTAATGAATTAGAGGTTGTTGTCCTTATACAGATATGCACCATAACATTTTCCAAAGCCCCAAGATTTCCACCCCGGAATTCGGAAATGTGTGATCTGGCGTTTATAATCTCGGGTTCAGTATCTGGAAATAGACGCCATAGAAAACAAATTTGTCATCCTAGCTCAATTTGCTAAAGCCTTAAGAAGCCGCACACCCCGGCCTTTGTGTTTGTATGCTTCTTAATCTAATATAGGGGCCTTCATAATTAGAATGGGCTTGGGGGCACACTATAATAAAGTTATGATTAACAAGGAACCCCCAACCTATTATTGGCAGTTATTTAGGCCCCTATATTCGGCGAGGATGCATTCGTGATCCGGTGTGTTGGGGTTGAGTGCCACATCGGGTTTCCAGGGCTCAGGAAGGGGTGGGGCTCGCTGATAGAGATCTGCGTGGCAGTCCAAACCCTGTGCCTTTTCAACCCATAAAACCCTCTGATGCGCTGCTTAAGCTATCCAGCTTCCTCCCTCCCTGAAAAGCCTTTCGTGCCTTCTTTTCCCTTCCACTGGGTGGCAGGGTCGCAGATCTCTGCTAAGCAATACCTCGTTCCGCAGGCTGTCGGGAGAAGATTTACATCAGGGTGGTGTAGGATATAGGGCCTAAGTGCTTAGAGTTTCGGGGTTGCAGATTTAGGAATTATGGCTTGGGGTTTTGGTTTAGTGCAAGGGGGGCGGGGCGAATTCATGTATGTCCCGGATTTGGGATTAACATGCCTGCACAAGCATGGGCTTTCCGGTTGAGGGTTTAGGGCCCTTCAACGTGCTCGGGACGAAGTGCACTCCCATCTTGCAGGAAGACCCGACAGATGGGTAGTTGTCAAAATTATGGTCCCTTTTTGGGTCCCCTGAATATTAAGTGCCGTATTGTATTAAGGACCAAAAAAGGCACCATGATTTTGACAACCACCCAAATGGTACAGTACTCCGAAGTGCTACCGTGAGGGTTCCTTGGAATCCGAAATCCGCCTTTTCTCGCTGTGACTGCTACAGTCTGGTGGATGACGGGGACAGACCCGGCGCCCAAAGACCCTTAAAGGGCGAGCTGTTGATTAGGCGTAAACGACCCCAAGGACGATCCTAATAAAGGTGCGGTAATAGTTAGAATAGGGTTTTCGGCAGATACTATGCTACAAATGATGCGGCGACTGTCACGAGATTCTCCTACTAAGTATTCCGACCCCTTTCCAACCCCTAAACTTAGCCCAAAACCCTTCCAGAGCAGCCTAAACCCTAAACCCCGCACCCTTATGGAACTACATATGGGTGGTTGTCAATTGATGGTCCCTTTTTGGGTCCCTATTTAACACGGCACCTACTACTCAGGGCACCCAAAAAGGGACCCCTAGTTTTGACAACCCCCCCCCCCCCCCCCCCCCCACATAAAAATGCGAAACCCTAAACCCTAAACCCTGTCAGATCAGCGACTTCTCGTCGCAGCATTCCTCGTCGGAAAAGCCCCGGCGGTCGAGGTTTGTCGCGCCGTGCTGCGCCGACTTGTGGACCTTGGCTTGGAGGGCTCCTTTAAGGGTCCCTTTAAAGGGATCTGTAGGGATTCTATAAGGGTATAGGGTTCCTTTAAGCGTTCCTTTAATGGGATCTATAGGGATTCTATAAGGGTATATAAAGGGTTTAGGGTCTACTTGGAGGTTCATGGGTAGCTATAAGTGGGGTTACAAGTATAGGGTAACTGCCACTCTAACCCATTTTGGGGGGGACTTATAACTCCACTTATAACTACCCACGATCCTCCATAAGTGTGGGTTTAGAGTTTACGGGCCCAGCCCCTCTGAACCCTTTGAAACAGCGGAGCTGACAGAACTTCGGAGATGCCCCTGGCTAGTCCTCCTTTTTGGGTCCCCTAAATAATCGGTGCCGTATTATAATACAGTAGAAGCCAGAAAGTTGGAATATCATTATCGTAACCCTTTAAGGTAAACTATAGGGGATCCTACCATTAATCCATATTCCAACTTTCTGGAGTTCCCTGTAGGGGCCCAAAAAGGGACCATGATTTTGACAACCACCCATATGTCGTTCCTTAAGTCTTCTGTAGACTTCAGGGTAGAGCTTTAGCCCGAAGAACAACTATTCATTAGGCACTGCCCCCATACAGTAAGAGTCTATAATAGGGCTACTAATAGGGCCCTGATATATCCATACTATGAATATTATTCAACTATTACTGAGTGGAGTGGGGGCCGTAGTACCCAAACTATTCATCCTAAACATCAAACCCTGAGCTCTACATAGGTTTCCATCATACTCGAATCCCACCCAAGTTCCGCAACCCACACCAAAACTGCCGTCTGCGAGTTCGTACGTATTCAACCCCCGACTACGACTTGGGCTTAGAACGGACATAGGCCTCTGTTTAGTGGGAAGAGTCTAGAACCATCAATTCAAACTTGGCCTGTTTAATGGTGAACCACATCGACATCTACACAGTGAATACGAAGAACGGCCCACACTATGCTGGTGAATCCGTCGGAGTTTCCGGAAAGGGGTGCGTAGATCCGCCTTAAGGACGTGAGGGACGTAAGTAGGATTCGCAAGAGGCCCTGTCGAAGTTCCCTTATGCTTGTTTGAGAAGCTCTTACACAACACACAACAATTTCAGAAGACCTCCTATGAACCCTAAATAGCAGGAGCCTTTTCATGAGGAGCCCCACAGAGGGGCCCTCAGCCCTAAAACCCTAAACCCTTAAACCCTAAACCCCTAAACCCTGAACCCTGACCCCTAAACCCCAAACCCTTATGAGATCCCCTCTTTCTGACGATGACCTTCAAGGGTTCACGCCTTTAGTCTATGTAAGATCCGGCACAGGCTCCAACATCCCCCAATTTAGCGGTTGCAAAGCTTAGGGTTTAGGGAGTTTAGGATTTAGGGTTGAGGGCTGAGGGTTTAGGTTTAAACTTGACGATTTGGGATTTAGGGTTTGGGGTTGAAGGAATCATAGTGAAGTCTCAACAAGTAGAATCGGGCTTTGGGGCAAATTATACCTAATGAGGAACCGTAAGGAATAACACTGGTACTTACGCCGACCTCGAATCCTTGTCCGGCGAGGTTCCCCTAAATATCGAGATCCCCAATACCAAAACTTGCCCTAAACGCTAAGCCCTAAATGCAGTTCTATCCCTAATCCCTTCCCCCCTAATACCTAATCTTTATGATCGTAAAATTTCAGGACTTTAGCGTCTCCGGAGCAGTAGCTCGGAAGTACAGTGCTTCGGGTTCGAGATTTGCGGTCCAGGGTTTATGCTACAGTAAAGGGGGTTTAGGGTTTTAAGGTTCCTTTAAAGGGATCTAAAGGGGTTCTATAAGGGGATCTATCAAGGGGGTTTAGGGTTAAGGGCACAGGGTTTAGCGTGTAGGGCGCTTCGGTTTAAGGTTTACTTGTGCTGGTGACGCAACAAAACTGAGACAACAAGCCCGGTAGGCTCCTCTCTTTGTTCGAAACTCGAAGCAACTCCTGAAACCACGACGGTGCTCAAGAACCCTGGCCCGACAAACTGAGGTTAAGGCTTACCTTTGGTTAGTAGGGAATGGAGGAGCGGGGTACAATTACAACTACTATTACTACCATTCTTCCATTCCCTACTAACCAAAGGTAGGACCCCTACCCTATAATGGGCTATATAATGGGTATATAATAGAGCTATATTAAGGGTATATACCTAGGGGTCCTTATTAATTGTCCCTCCTTTTACCCTTAAATGCCAGGGCACCCACTTCGTTTTATCGCTGCAGGTCCAGGCAGTGCAGAACTTGTGTTCGCAGCACTCGTCGTCAGTGCTGCCCTGGAGGCCCTGACATGAGCATCTTCAAAGGCACTCTTTAGAAGCTGCCCCCACCGTGTAATAGTGACTATAAGGATTATATTAGGGCCCTATTATATTCCTATTATACCACTATTTCAGGGTGGGGGCATCTTCAAAGGCACTCTAATATAGGGGCCTGAATAGTTAGGATAAGGTTTTGAGGCCCATTCTACTACGTATAGTATTCGGTAATTAGTAAGGCCCCAATACCATAAAACCCTACCATAGATCCCTTGTAGACCCTTTTGAAGGAACCCTATAAAAGGAACCCCCAGTAATTATTTAGGCCCCTATCGTATGGCGGTCGGTAACAGAAAATCCGATACCTCCGGGGTCTTAGCCACAGGCCCTCGCATACACCCTTATATGGGTAGTTGTCAAAACTATGGTCCCTCTTTAAATACCCTAAATATTAGGTGCCGCATTATATTAAGCACCCAACAAGGGACCGTGATTTTGACAACCACCCATAAAAAAAAAAAACTCACAGACCCACTCCGGCAGTCGTCCGGGCCTTCACTGGCTTCTTCTGAAGGCTGTCTTTGCTGCAGGTGTGGGTGTCGCACATCTTCTTGGTGCAGCACTGCTTAATCGTGCTGCCTGTGCCAGCGGTGCTTGGGGAGCATGGAGCAGGGGGCGTTGCATGGTGTTTCGGGGCGAGTAGTCGAAGGTACGGGCGTTCTGGATTGCTTCAAAAGCTTCGAGTTCGCCTGGATAGAGAAGCTGTGGACTGTAGAAGCAGCAGTGGATTTGCCATTTCTGTATCAGCTTCTGTTTATGGTCACAACATACCTTGTTCACAGGACGAGAAGCGACTGAGGCTTGTTCTGCAAGGGTCAAGTGGCATGCGTGCCAAACACAAAGGTGCAGCCTCAAAGTCCGCCGCGGGCGCCAGGCAGCAGTAGCGGCAAGAGAAGAAGCAATGCCAGCAGCAGCACAAGCAGAAGTAGTAGCAATGTGCATCTAAGCTCTAGTCTTAGTAGTCGTGGTGGTGGTAGTGGTGGTCTTGGAGGTGGTGCTGGTGCTGGTGCTGTGGTGGTGGTGTTGCTGGTGGTGCTGCTGGTGATGGTGGTGGTGCTGGTGGTGGTGGCGGAGGTGGTGGCGGTGGCAGTGGGGGCGGCGGTGGTGGTGGCGTTGGTCGTTGTGGGAGCGGCAATAGAAGCAGCACTGGAAGTAGCAGTGGGGGTAGGAGGAGGGGAAGTGGGAGTGTGCGGTTCGCCTTATTCTTCATCATCATCTGCCAGGACATCGGTGGCGGCATCAACATAACTAGCATCACTGCCAACGTTCTCATCATCGTTGATCGCCTCATCAACACCATTACTATCACGGTGTCCCGTCAGCATCAATATCATCAGCAGGAGCACCTGCCGATCAGGAACACCAGCAGCGTCATCATCAACAGGCTCCTCCTCATCATCATCCTCAGCAAAAGCAGCATCATCGCATCATCAGCTTGTTCCTCCCCGTCTTCATCACCACCTTCCTCTCCTCCATCTGAATCACAAGAAGGCCCGAGCCTACCACGGCCTTCGGGTTTGGTTCCCACTGTGTGTTGTTGGGGCACTCGAAGGTGTCGCACTTCTTCACCTTTGCTTTTTTAACTACATTGGCCTTACGGATTAGAATTGGGGCTTGGGGTTACATTCTAGTCTAGTTTATATAACTATATGATGGAACCAAGAGAGATACTAACGGAGTTATTGAGGCTTGTGCATTATGCTGAAGGGCTCAACGGTTGAGAACCTTGCCCACTTCAAATCCCGGAACCTCCTCCACAACCCCACCACCCTGGAACACCCTGTTTCCAGCATATGTAGAACCAACACACCAAAGCCCAATGCTTCAGGTACCTGAATGTCGATTTCCACGTCCGGAGGTTTTGTAGCATTGAGGTCATCGACGAAATCGTCGTGCTGCTGCAACTCGTGCTACCACTTATGCGAGACGACGCAAGGTGCTGCTGCTAGTTACTGATGATGGCAGTATCCTTTCTACTTCGGAAGGTCTCCAGCATAAGTGCCGATGGTAGTTGTAGCAGCAGCAGCAGCAGCAGTAGTAGCAGTAGTAGTAGTAGTAGTAGTAGTAGTAGTAGCAGTAGTAGTGGTGGTAGTAGTAGTAGTAGTGGTAGTGGTAGTGGTAGTGGTAGTGGTAGTAGTACTGGCAGTGGTAGTCGTAGTGGTAGTGGTAGTGGCAGTGGTACCCCAGAGTAGTGGTACTGGTAGTAGTGGTAGTCGTGGTAGTAGTTTAATACCAAAAAGGAATGGCCAACATCATGCCAGCAAGAACATCAAATACAATGCAAACGCACACCATAACAGCCGCACGAGTCAAAGGGACGTCGCAGCACTCCTCTCGGCTGTTTCCCATCACGTTGGCAGCATCCGGCTTGAGGCCGTAGTCCTGGAGACGAAGCAGGGCTGCAAAGCGCTGCGCTTAGGGTATAGAGTTCAGAACCCAGCCTCAAGCTGGTTGTGGCTTGTGGTTGTGGCTTGTGGTTGTGGCTCTGGTTGTGGTTTTTGTCGTCGCTGTTGCTGCTGCTGCTGCTGTGATTGTTGTTCCTTCCAGTGGCTCTTCACGCACGAATTCAGGCCTGCACGAAATCAGGCTTCGGGGGATTGCGAATTTTGTCGACAAGCGCATTTCTCAGGGTGCCTTTCGTACTGGTGAAAACCATGAGGCACACTGGCTTCTCAGCGGCCGTGTAAGTGCCGCGTCGTTCTTGGAAGCTCTGGCCCCGGCGTCACCTTCGAACAGCCGAAGCTTTTGATAGCACTCCTGCCGTGGTGTCTGTCGACTTGGAGGAAGCCCCGCAAACTCCGCATCCATGCCCGCAAGATGACAACGTCCATGCTACCAGCAAAGTCATTGTCGCCGCAGCCATGCCCGCAGGATGAAGATAATGTCCATGTTACCAGCGCATCCACTGTCGCCTCATCCATGCGCCCAAGTTGATAACGTCCATGCTACCCGCACATCCACTGTCGCCGCATCCATGCCCGCAAGTTGATAACGTCCATACTAAATACCAGCACGTCCACTGTCGCCGCATCCATGCCCGCAGGATGATGTCCACTGTCGCCGCAGCCATGTCGGATGACAATTACTATGTTTTGTAGTTTCTTGTCAAGTGTATATCAAGATTCCATACGGCATCGTTTAACCTTGCACAGTTGCGACCATTCTTCTCAAGTTGTTCTGTCCTGTGCGTTAATGAGAGCTTCAATGCGCGGGAACGAATGTCTCCAAGATGTGTTCATACAACTTTGCCTTCAGCGAGAACGCACTACCCCGGTTTGAGAACGGTGCTTCAAGCTTTACGTTGCTATCGTTCCCATCGAGCCGGCATGATGGGGTGTCCTCCGTCACAAGATGCAGTTCTGGCCAAAGACCAGACATGGCTGTTCTGAGGGCAGTGCGAATCATGGCACAGACGACTGGCACATTGTTGTTGTTGTTGCCGTTGCTGCTGCGATTGGTGCTGCTGTTGCTCTTGCTGTTGCTGTTGGTGATGATGAGATGACGATGATGATGATGAACATGTCGTTTGTCGCTGCTTGCGGATGTTGATTCTGCTGCTGTTGTTTGTTGTTTGTTGCTTGTAGTTTGTAGTTTGTTGTTTTCGTGGCCGTGGCCGTGGCCGTTGCTGTTGCCGCTGTTGTTGTCGTTGTCGTTGTTGGTAGTGGTGTTGTGGTTGTTGTGTTTGTTGTGGTTGTTATGGTGGTGATGGTGGTGGTGGCGATCGTGGTCGTGCTCGTGGTCGTGGCCGTGGCCGTGCCGGCGATGGTGGCGGGCGGCGGTGGTGGCGGCGGCGGTTACGGTTGCAGTTGCGGTTGGGGTTCGGGTTCGGGGTTCGGGTTGTGTTGGGGTTGGTGGTTGTGGTTGTGGTTGCGGTTGTGTGTTGTTGGTGCTCGTCTTCTCGGTGCTGTTCTTGTTCTAGTATTGCTGTGACCCAGCTGTCTCTTGATCGCTTTGATTCATTAACTATTAAGACAATAGTAAACGACTTTTCCAAACGCAATCTGAAAAAACAAGCTTCTAGAGGTTCAATGATTTTTCAATACAAATTTAAGAAAAACCTGAAAAAGTAGACAAGTGCGGATGTTTGGTAAAGCAGGCCTAGAAAGCGTATAACTCCCAAACCCCCTACCCCCGACAAACTTTTTAGAGTCCTAAATACAAACTGCAGCAGTGCAGAGGAAGCCGTCTGAACCCGAATTGCAAAATCCCCAACCCTCAGCCCTGAAAACGGAATCAAAAGAAACAACTCGAAAAATCAAGCATCCCATCAAAAATGCATCAAAAAGCACACACTGAAAGCCTAAACCCTAAAATCTTAACACTAAACCCCCGAACCACCGTAAAACCCTTAAACCCTTAAACCTTGAAACCCTAGACCATCCTAAACCCTGAGTTCTAAAGCTCTAAACCCTCAAGCCCTTAAACCCTAAAGCCCCAAAACCCTGAGTTCTAAAGCTCTATAAACCCGAAAGCCCTGAAACCCTAAAGCCCCAAAACCCTATTGAATCCTCGGTCGGCTGGCAGTCGAAGGACTTGCAGTAGACGCCTTCCTGAGCTATGGCTGGCATAAATTCAAGGGTAAAAGGAGGGACCCTTAATATTTAGGGCACCCAAAAAGGAACCATAATTTTGACAACCACCCATATGAATCCTACTATTAGGGGTTTATAGGCCAGGGTTTCTCAATCAGGTTCCTTCCAAGGGTAAGAGGAGAGAGCCTTAATAAGGACCCCTGGGTATATACCCTTACTATAGCTATTATATATACACTAATATACACCCATTCTATAGCCCAGTATAGGGTAGGGAATGGAAGAATGGTAGTAATAGTAGTTATAATTGTACCCCATTCCTCCATTCCCTACTAACCAAAGGTAAGATAAAGCTCGCGCCCCCAGAGTTGTTTTGGGGTTCCTTCAACATTTCCAAGAAGGGGCTCCTTTAAAGATCGAACATAATTAGTACCAGATGGGGTTCCTTTAACGGGATACATGGGGGTTTCCTTGAGTGTCCGGTCCTGAGGGTATATCATGGTACTATGAGGGGGTTCTTTCAAAGGGATCTGTAAGTAAGGGTTTCCCTGAAAGGTTGCCTTTAAGGGTCGCATCTGGGGTTTTAGGGTTCCTTAAGATAGATCCATAAGGGCTCCTATAACCAAATGCTTGTTGGTAATATAAAGGGGTCTGGGGCTCCTAGAACTTTACACTAGACCTAAGAGTAACCTAGGAATGAAAAGGGTGCCCTTCTTGGCTTAAAGGGGGTTATAAGGGAACCTAAACCTTGAAAAAGGGAACAAGGGCCTACTCTGGGTTCCTAGTACAAGTGGTGATCTAGAAGTATGCAACAAACCTCCAAGGTTTCCTACAGGTTTCCTTTGAAGGTTTCCTGTAAGGGTTCCCTTTAGCGCTTCCCGTCAAAGGTTTCCTTTAAAGGCTCCGTTTACGGGTTTCCTTGAAGGGGATCCCAGAAGATTCCTACGAGGTTTTTGGGAAAAGTCCTAGAAGAGGGCTTTCCTTATCCCTCCAAGGATCTCATAGTTGGGACCCTAGACCCCTTAAGGACCCCATAATAAGGTCCCTGGAGGCATAAAGTCAAAGCCAGAAAGTTGGAATATGATTATCCTAAAGCCTTTATGGTAAATTACAAGGTATCCTTCCCTGAAACCATATTCCAACTTTCTGGAGTTCCCCTTAGGGTTTTAGATTGCTTCAACTTCTTTAGTTTCAAGTTGGGTCGGCAATCGGCTCGCAACTGGGTATGACAGCCGACCTCAAAAGAGACAAGGACACAATTTCCCAGAGAGCCCAATACCCCTTAGTTAAGGAATATACCTTAACCTTATAAGGGGGTTCATATTATGATGCAAACTATATTCCTTAATTAAGGGTATTGGGCTCTCTGGGTTACCCCTCAACAGCTCATAGAAATCGCGTACTCGCCCCAGACGACTTCGTCTGGAAGATCAAGAGCACTGTGCGCTTGAGCACCATGTTCCTGTTGCTCATCTGCTCATCCCTAAACCCTAAACCCTAAACCCCTAACCCCTAAACCCCTAACCCCTAAACCCTAAACCCTAAACCCTAAACGTCGGACGCGAAGGGGGGCACCAAGGACCTGCCGACTTTGAAGTGTTTCTCCTTTGTGCTCTCCCCGTTCTTGAACCTCACGGTGACGTGGATGCAGCGGTTGTCGAAGATAGGGATCATGGCCATCGAGACCCTGAACTTCTTCTTGATGAAGTGACCCTCTACTGGTCTGCTGATTGCAACACAATTTTGTATAGACTTCGCGGAGCCTTGAGCAGTAGGCATTTGGGGTGTGGGGTTTCAGGGTTGAGGGTCGAGGGTTTCAGTGTTCAGGATTTCAGAGTTTAGGATTGAAGACTTCAAGGTTTAGGGCTTCAGAGTTTGAGGCGGGGGGTCTTGGGATTTAGGGTTTAAGGTTTCAGGGTTTAGGGTTTGAGAGGTGATATAAGGCTTGCAGTCGCACCCTCTTTCTGTCTTTCTGCTTCATGACTCCGCCTGTTTGCGCATCTCATCTATTCAACATGGATTTCTTAACAGCGGGGGCCTTTCTTGGATTGGAGGTCCGCATAGTCAGCATCCATTTAGGGACCATATTATGCTGTATGGTTTATTAAACTCTTTCAGAACAGATCTGTTTATCTGAACTTTACCACCTGTATCCAGATGCGTGCCTGGAACAGTTTGCAGAGGACGTTTGAGAAAACACACTTACTACATATCTTCGGTCTCCAAGTAGCGCAGCATTCCTCATCGGTGCTTCCCAGACGTGGGGTGCCGTCCTTTTCAGGGACTAAGGCTTTGGCCCTGCCCCTTAGGGGTGTTGGGTGAGGCACAGCGACTCCAGTTCGGCAGTTTCGCACCTACACAGTCAATTACTTCTTCCGACAGCACTACCAATGTGTGCGTGCTCCATTGCCCCCTTCTCTTCCTTCCTTCCCTCTCTCCCTCAGTCCTTCCTCCTTCACCTTTCTCCCTCTCCCCTCCCTTCCTCCCTCCCTCAGCCTCCTGTTCCACGCCTGCCCCGCTGCCTCTCCCTCCTTCTGAGTATTCTCTCTCTTTCTCTCCGTGTCGCCTTTTCCCTCTTACTGTGCTCTGTCACTCTTTCTCTCTGTCTGTCTCTCTCTCTCTCTCTCTCTCTCTCTCTCTCTCTCTCAGAGTATCCCTGTCTCTCTCTGTCTCTCGCTCGCTCTCTCTCTCTGTCTCTCTCTCTCTCTCTCTCTCTCTCTCTCTGTCTTTTTCTCTCTTTTTGTCGCTCTCTCTGTCTCTGTCTCTCCTTGTTTCTAGCTCTCTGTCTTTGTCTTTCTTCTTTCCAAGACAGGATACAAAAATGACTCAGCAAATTGTGGGCAAATGTCTTTAGCCCGGATATTCGCAACCACATGCGTCTTGAATCAACCTCTATTTGGCATGATACGACATGATATAACTCTGTGACAAAACTACGACCCTACGGTCCTTCTCATCCCTACAGTTCTGACTGCGAGCGAGGGTTACAACTTCCACCTAACAGCGTTCTTACGCAAAAAGAAGGCGATGTTCAACAATTATCAATTACGGTGTGGGACGACGGAAGAAGGAAGGTGAGAAAAATGCGAACTGATTGTTGAGGCGCGGTTGTGGTAGTTTTCCATCATCTTAGAAAGGGGCTCGACCAAGCATGCTGATAGTCTCAAGATGCAAAATGGAGATCGAACATCCACGAAACCCTCAACATGAAATCTCTCGATACCTAAGACATGCTCCGAAAGATTGTGGCTTGATGAACCAATGCTGACATGTTTCTGCGGAATCTCGGAACTTCAAGCTTCTGTTTGGGGCTTATGGCTTAGGGCGTCGGGGTGCTGCCTCAATTGCCCCACTGTAGACTGTAGATAGCAATGCACTCTCCAGGTGGAAGGTCGGAAGTCTCTTGTGTTGATAGAAAACTGGACAAAAATCACATGCAATTTCCCATTGCTACAGACCTACATGCATGTCTACACATGCACCTGCACATATAACCATGTCAT